CACGGTACACGCTTGCATTCAGGCGCAGGCGAGGTCAGAAGGAGGAGCCACGGAGCCAGTCCGTCCTACACTATGCTGCAATGCCGACCGCATAGTGAAGGATAGGAATTCTGAAGGCACGGCCGGCGGGGCTCATAAGAGCCAGCTGCGTTGGTGGCCCCCAGGAAGAACTGGGCAGGGGCAGCTGCCTTTAGCCCTGCGTTAAAGACGGCCCAGCGGCCATTTTTAACATGCTTTAGGGCGGCCTGGTGGGCAATTGCCTCCCTGCCCCCCGGCCCAGCCCTCCTCTGGCGGCCACCCAGACAAACAATTAGAACACTGCGGTGGAAATTGCTACAATGTAGCAATTAGGCTTAACAAGCTCCCGTGTGGTCTCACGTTCATGCAGCTTTTTTCGGTTCCTGAACCATACAGTCCAAATACACGAACAGAGACGTTTACATTACATTTTACAGGGTCCATAGTCTGTGGGTAGGAGGGTGGCAAGCAGGATCCTCCAGGAGCTCGTGGCAAACTCACTTGGAAAGGGGAGTTTGTCACACCTTCCTTCAGCCGTTCAGGAACGCTTACACCACGCAGGCATTCATTTTCCCCCCAGTAAATGGACAAAACGCAGCTCTAGAGGTTACAACACTGAGTGACTCATTTTATTTTGTTACAGTTTGTTTTACAGACACAGACCCCTACATGGGGTCTCCAACACAAAACAACAGGAGTTTCAATCCCAAGAAGCTGAAGGGAAGGGAGGAAGGATAATGCATCTAGGTTAAACTGTGCTGGCAGTGTCTCTGTGGCAAAGTCCTGCTCTGACAGTTAAAGGGAGGGGGAAGTGGGATGAGATACAGGCAGACCATGCACTTACTCTATTATACAGAGCTACTGCATATACAGGCACAATACATGAAAGGATTAGAAATACATAGGGAAACACAGAACACAAGAGGAAACCACACAAATAAGCAGTGGGCATAGTACGGAATAAGGGCGGTCCGTCACACTGAGTACTTAAGTAATAATTACTAGAGTTGAGCGGACACCTGGATGTTTGGGGCCGGCGAGTTCGGCCGAACTTTGAAAAAAGTCCGGGTTCGGGCTCGAACTTGACCCCGAACTTGACCCTGAACCTGAACCCCATTGAAGTCACTGGGGACCCGAACTTTTGGCCACAAAAATGCCTCTAAATAACTCCTGGAAAGGGCTAGAGAGCTACAAAAGGAAATAAAATGGGGTAAGAGTAGGACAAGTGCCCTGCAAACAAATGTGGATAGGGAGATCACTTAAAATAACATAAAATACAAAATTCAGCTGAGCCATAAAATAGCACTAGATGGAATCTTTGATTTTAGCTTTGGAAGAACATAAATCAAAATCTAAAGCATGGCTGTCAGGAGGATCACCAGAATTATCCATTTGAGAGAGGGTTGGAGTGCAGGGCACGCCCGGACTGGCCATCGGGCATACCGGGCAAATGCCAGGTGGGCCGCGGTGGCCGTGGGGCCGAGGCCGGCAGGGAGATCACAGGATTTCCCCTGACGGTCTATGCAGGGCCAGCGCTACCCGAGCGCCGGCCCTGCAGTAGTCCACGGTGATCCGGTGGGGAGATCAGAGATCTCCCTCACCGGCCCACATGCAGGATAGTGCGGCCGCCTGGGGAGAGAGGGAGGGAGACAGCCAGCCAGGAGAGGAACCCGGCGGAGCTTTAACTAACAGCTCTGCCGGGTTCCTCGCGCGAGATTCGGAGTGTTGCCATGGCAACGCTCCGGGTCTCACGAGAGTGAACTCTAGCCTCACAGGCTAGAGTTCACTCACCACTAGGACAACCAGGGATGGATGGCAGCCCCAGCAGCAGGATCCCCCCTCCCACCCTCCCAGGCTAAAGGTAAGCAGGGAGGAGGGAAATAATCACCTAACTCACATCAGCCTCACAGACACCCTTAACACTCACAGCACCCTCACTCACACACACACACACACTGCACCCCTGACACTCACAGCACACACACACACTGCACCCCTGACACTCACAGCACACACACACACACACACTGCACCCCTGACACTCACAGCACCCTCACTCACACACTCACACAGCACACACACACTCACAGCACCCTCACTCACACACTCACACACACTGCACCCTAACACTTACAGCACCCTCACGCACACACACACACACACACACACACACACACACTGCACCCCTGACACTCACAGCACACACACACACACACACACACTGCACCCCTGACACTCACTCACACACACACTGCACCTCTGGACACTCACACACACACACACACCGCACTGCACCTGACACTAGCTCACACACACACACACACACACTGCCCCTGACACTCACTCACACACACACACACACACTGCACCCTGACACTCCACACACACACACACTGCACCCCTGACACTCCACAGCACCCTCCTCCACACTCACACACACTGCACTAACGCTCACATAACTCACACACACTCCACACACACTGCACCTGACACTCCACTCACACACACACACACACTGCACCCCTGACACTCACAGCACACACACACACACACACTGCACCTAACGCTTACAGCACCCCTCACGCGCACACACACACACACACACACACTGCACCTGACACTCACAGCACCACACGCACACACACACTGCACCCTGACACTCACACACACAACGCACAAACACTCACACCCACACACACACACTGACACACTCCGCACACACTGACACACTCCCACACCCACACACACACACACTGCACCCCTGACACTCACAGCACCCTCACTCACACACTCACACACTCACACACACTGCACGCCTAACACTCACATAACACACACACACTCACAGCACCCTCACTTACACACACACACTGCACCCCTAACACTTACAGCACCCTCACACACACACACACACACACACACACTGCACCCCTAACACTTACAGCACCCACACACACACACTGCACCCCTGACATGCACAGCACACACTCACTGCACCCCTAACACTTACAGTACCCACACACACACACACACACACACACTGCACCAGCTTCCTCACACGCACATAGCACCCTCACGCAAACACAGCACCTATCACTCACACACTACACACCTCACACACACTGCACCCCTCTCGCACTCACACTACACCCCTTACACACACACACACACAGCACCCTAACACACCCTGCACAATATGCTTTCCTAGCATTTTTGTCTCCTGGTATCCCAACTATGGAGACACCAGAGACAAATTTCAAGCAAACACAGTGCAAGCATGTTATTGAATTTGCTTGCGCTGTGCAGAACAAATATAGGGTCTTTTTCTCATGCCGGAGCTCTTCAGCAGAGCTCTGCGCATGGTCTGCCCTGGAAGAGCATTGAACCAACATGCTCACTTTGTGATGGGGCGTGCTTGTCATTGGCGATGACAAAACACACCCTATCTGGCCCCACCCCCTTTGTAGTGGGCCGCTGTAATTAAAAAATGCCCGGGCCGAATTATCTTCCCAGTCCAGCCCTGGTGCAGGGTATTCTTTTTCATTGTTCAAACTGAGCTCAACTCCTGATGCATGGAGAAAAGGCATTCACAAGCCTCTGCTAATGTGTACATAGTTTATACTAAGTGACCCATAGGTTGACAAGGCGGTGACCATGGCGGTGTAGGTGGAAGCAGCGGTGGAGGAGGAGGATGAAGTAGCCAATGCTGTTTTTTATTTATATATATTTTTTTAATTGTGGTAGCCCACAATATATTGGGACCTACAAAAAAAGAAATATTTGCTGCCTGCGGTGCATTTCTTGCAGTCCTGATGCATGGAGAAATGCTCAACCCCTGATGCATAGAGAAAAGGCCTTCACAAGTCTCTGCTAATGTGTACATAGTTTATACGAAGTGACCCATAGGTTGAGGAGGCGGTGACCGTGGCGGTATAGGTGGAAGCAGCGGTGGAGGAGGAGGATGAGGTAGCCAACACTGTTTTTTATTTATATATATTTTTTTTTATTGTGGTAGCCCCCAAAATACTGGGACATACAAAAAAAGAAATATTTGCTGCCTGCGGTGCATTTCTTGCAGTCCTGATGCATGGAGAAATGCACAACTCCTGATGCATGGTGAAAAGGCCTTCACAAGCCTCTGCTAATGTGTTCATAGTTTATACTAAGTGACCCATAGGCTGAGGAGGCGGTGACCGTGGTGGTGGAGGTGGAAGCAGCGGTGGAGGAGGAGGATGAGGTAGCCAACACAGTTTTTTATTTATATATTTTTTATTTTAATTGGGGTAGCCCCCAAAATATTGGGACATACAAAAAAAGAAACATTTGCTGACTGCGGTGCATTTCTTGCAGTCCTGATGCATGGAGAAATGCTCAACTCCTGATGTATAGAGAAAAGGCCTTCACAAGCCTCTGCTAATGTGTACATAATTTATACTAAGTGACCCATAGGTTGAGGAGGCGATGACCGTGGCAGTATAGGTGGAAGCAGCGGTAGAGGAGGAGGTAGCCAACACGGTTTATATATATATATTTTTTTACTTTAATTGGGGTAGCCCCCAAAATATTGGGACAAATAAAAAAAGAAACATTTGTCGCCTGCGGTGCATTTCTTGCAGTCCTGATGCATGGAGAAATGCTCAACTCCTGATGCATGGAGAAAAGGCCTTCTCAAGCCTCTGCTAATGTGTACCTAGTTTATACTAAGTGACCCATAGGTTGAGGAGGCGGTGACCGTGGCGGTATAGGTGGAAGTGGCGGTGGAGGAGGAGGATGAGGTAGCCAACACTGTTTATATATATATATATTTTTTTTAATTGGGGTAGGCCACAAAATATTGGGACATGTAAAAAAAGAAACATTTGCGGCCTGCGGTGCATGTCTTGCAGTACTCATGCATGGAGAAATGCTCAACTCCTGATGCATGGAGAAAAGGCCTTCACAAGCCTCTGCTAATGTGTACATAGTTTATACTAAGTGACCCATAGGTTGAGGAGGCAGTGACCATGGCGGTGTAGGTGGAAGCGGCAGTGGAGGAGGAGGATAAAGTAGCCAACACTGTTTTTTATTTATATATTTTTTTAATTGGGGTAGGCTCCAAAATATTGGGACATATAAAAAAAGACAACTCTGTTCCGCAGAGTAGCTGTTGACATTATAGTTGCGCAGGCACTTTGTTGACTCTAGAGAACCTCGGGCCAATCGCACATCCTGCGACGGCGACTTTGCATTCGGATGCCATCCATATCAACTTTCGATGCCAGTTTCTGTGCCTACCATGGTGACCACGGGTAACAGGGAATCAGGGTTCCATTCCGTACAGGACCCTGAGAAACCCACTCCCGACGCGTGAAGGTAGTGATGACAAATAACAATACAGGACTCTTTAGAGGCCCTGTAATTGTAATGAGTCCACTTGAAATCCTTTAAATCTGATCAATTGGAGGGAAGTCTGGTGCAGAGCCACTGACCCGTGCGTGCTGCTCGCACAGTCTCATGAGGCGGTGAGCGGGAAGGCTGAAATTACGCTGCAGAGCAGACAGGCGAGCAGCAGCAGGGTGAGAACGCCAAAAGCGCGCACAGCCACTACAGTGAATTTCCCATCCTGTTCCAAGTTGCGGATCAGTCTGGTGATGGCTTCTGGTATCCAGTACTCTTTTTACTGAAGCTGCATCAGGGTCCTGGTATGTGACCGCACAAATGCTGGTGCGTAACACCAGGGGGCGTGCGGTTACCCTGCACCAGACCCTGCTAATCCATTCCACACTGTAACTCCACTGTGACTCCTAACTTCAACATCAGGCATACTGGGTCCTGGTCATCCAACCGTCGCCCAGACAGTGTCTGGGTCCTGGTCACTGGACTGCCCACCTGACTATGAAACTATGAATGGATCGTTAAATCTGGTACGAACCCGAACTTTGCAGTTCGAGGTTTGCTCAACTCTGTTATGGAAACTTTGATCGCTACATCTATTACTTGGATAACTGGTAATTCTCGAGCTAATACATGCCGATGAGCGCTAGGGGATGGCCGTTCCGCTTTTGCACACTGCTCCCTCTTATGCTGTGCTGGTGCCTCTGTGCGACCAGTGCCTCTTCCTCCAAGCTGCACGTGTCACACCTTGATTCCATGTGGGGTCTAGGACCTCATTATCCTCCACATCATCTTCCACCCACTCCTCAACCCTGCCCTCCTTGTCGGTATGCACACTGCAGAAAGCCACAGCAGTTGGCACCTGTGTTTTTCCAGCATGTAAAGTCTGCAAAGGACATATGGAAATTGTTTTAGAATTGTATCCAGGCAACAGTTTTCCCTATAAACTGACCTCTCAGTTTGACTTGTGAGGGTATTGCCCCAGAATTACAATATTGTTTAAGTACCTCTTAGCTATTGATCACTGGTTTCAATATCTGTTATCAATCTGTTTTCTATCACTTAGATCTGTGTAACAAGTGTTGTAGGTGTGAAACAATATTACAAGTTACCGATGTAGTAAAATCGAATCAAAGTTACGCTTCGATTTGACTCTCAGATATGAAGTGCACACCCCAAAAATACTATTTAGCACCAAAAAAAAACAAAATGTACTTTTTAAAACTCCAATGTAAGCAGCAGATTAGCAGCAAAACAATTAGAATGTTTACAACTGCGCTGTAAGCACACTATTAGACGCTTCTATTTGAGTCTCAGATATGGAGTGCATGCCCCAAAATGTACTATTTATCAGTTTTGCACCAAAACAATAAGAATGTTTACAATTGCTCTGTAAGCGCACTATTAGACGCTTCTATTTGACTCTCAGATATGAAGTGCATCCCACTAATGTACTAGTTTGCAGAATTCTTTCCTAAGCTGTCCCTCACAGCGGCAGCATCCTCTCCCTACACTGATAAGACCGCACGTGCGTGCGGCGATACGTGACTCCAGCTTATATATAGAGGCTGGGTCACATGCTGCACTGGCCAATCACAGCCATACCATTAGTAGGCATGGCTGTGATGGCTTCTAAGGGCACACGAGTCAAACCCTGCAGCCTTACAGTGAACATACAGTGATATGTCCGTGTTCGGGTCCTGGGTCCCAAAAACGTTATGTTCGGTACGCTCAACTCTAATAATTCCATTTTATGAACTCATCCCAATACAATCCTTAAAGACCCCATGCCACAAAGAGATGAGCTGGTTTTCTGACTTTTGTAGATGAATACCACCCAGCTACCATTAAATGAGGGGCATGCCAGTTTGATATAGAAACTTTAAAGGCTAGACTTGTTATGAAGGAATTATTATATCATTGATCCTTAAGGGGATTAACTGATACATTGTTATTGACCAATTTAGTCATATTCCCAACTTGATCCTTTTGACCTAAATTGAGTTAATGTGATTTGCAATCAAACCCCAAGATTCCTAATGGAGAAGTTTTCATTTCTTGCCTGGTGACTATGTGTAAAAAAATCAGTTTGGTGTTTTGCTTTTGTAATCAAACAATGTAAAACTTTCTTATCTAACACACTTTTATCATAATGTCAGAAATCCTATGATTTACGTTCCCAGATTAGCATGCATAGGATACGCTCCCGGAGACAGACAGCAAGTCGGTATAACGATGATTCTGTTTCTTTATTGGAAGAGCAAGGTTATGTATGCAGTTTAGACAAAAAAGGCTTAATGCCAAAAAAAAGCATTTCTAACTAGTTTCATATAGTTTTTCTCTGATCACTCTTCTGAGCGTTATCTCTTGGTAGAGTTCCCAAGGCTCTACGGGTACATCCTTTAACACACGTTTTTTGGAAGAACATGCTAACTTTGCTATCTGCTGCACATACTTAATAAATATAACTAGCATAATGAGACAAGATGGAGGGACATAGGCTCCTATCCTTCACAAATTCTCTATTTTTGTTCATAAGATATGAAGTAGACCAGAATATTTCCAGTGTTGCTAGCCAACACTGTGGGGCTTTATTTAAATTTTTGCCACTGTTCCTCTGGTCAAACTCAGCCCATGAACACTTACCATAGTTTATTAGAGGATTCGTGAGGTTACAGGATACTAGGTGGATCGGAACCCCTGCATTATTTTCTAGAACATATATATATATATTAAATACTGTAAGGAGCAGCAGTAAAGCAAATAATATAATACGGGCGTGCAGGACTATATTCAGGACACCTTTTGCAGAGGGAGACCATCTTGTGAATATATCATACCCATGGTGGCCTGTATCAGCCACTATTTTGGGATATTTTTATATTTGGCCATATGTTGGGTGTTATTGATGGTGTTAATTAGAGGTTGAAGGGAAACAGATGGTGTGTTCAAGTCCAAAGCATGGGGGTGCTTGGATGAAAGTGATGGTTGTGTTGGACCACTTAATCATGGTGAGGTTAATGAGGGATCCCACAAAAGGTGTAGAAACTAAATTGAGCTAATGTGATTTGCAAACCCCAAGATTTATTATGGAGGAGTTTTCATTTCTTGCCTCGTGACTATGTGTTTTAAATCAGTTTGATGTTTTGCTTGTGTGAAAAAAACTATGTAGGAATTTCTTATCTAACACACTTTTATCTTAGAGTTCATAAAGAGCACAAGGCTCAATTTTAAGAATTGGGTCTAATATTTATAGTATGCACATATTTAGTCTATATAAACTATTTAAAAATTAGAAGATGCAGTGTCTTCATGTTATTGTTAGTGTCTCTTCAGGAGATAATAGACCTTCAAACTAAATTCCTTTGATACGTTCCTGGATTTTATGAATGCTTCGTTTCATTGCCTCCTTTACATCCTTGTTCCTGAGACTATAAATGATGGGATTGAGTAAAGGTGTTAACATAGTATAAATTAGGGCATAAATCTTATCGTGTTCAACAGAACGTGCTTGTTTTGGAACGACATACACAATAAACGCAGTGCTATAGAACAGCACTACCACAACGAGGTGGGAAGAGCAGGTAGAGAAGGCTTTACTTCGACCCTTGTTTGTCTTTATCTTTATAATTGAATATATAATTATTAAATACATGACTATAACAAACATAAGAATAAAAAAGGTGGCGACTGTACTGACAGACTGATTTGCAGTATTAATAGGTGTTATGTCACCACATGCGATGCTCATGAGTGGTGCTAGGTCACAGAAGTAATGCTTTAGGTCATGCGAGCCGCAGTAAGGAACTCTTACGGTAAGTGTCAGTGGCATGATGGCAACAAGAAATCCGTAGGACCAGCTGAATAAAACTAGCAGTTTACATACCCGACCAGTCATGATAGTGTTATAGCGAAGAGGATTATATATAGCCATACAGCGATCAAACGCCATGACAGCCAACATGGAGCACTCTGTAATGCCTAAAGAATGGAACATGTACAGTTGGACAAAACACCACCGGAACGAGATCCTCTTGTCATTGGTCACCAAGATGGACAGAAGCTTGGGAACAGTTGTAGATACATACCACAGCTCCAGGAATGACAATATGGTAATGAAGAAGTACATGGGTGTGTGGAGAGTTGCGTTGAAGCGCACTACTAAGATGATAACTGAGTTTCCAATGATTGTAAAGAGATAGATAGTGAGAAAAAGGACAAACAAATACATTCGAAATTCCTCAAGATCAGAAAATCCTTGAAGCAGAAAATCACGGAATAGAGATTGATTCACCTTCTCCATGACATGTTTTTTTTCAGATAGTCAGTAAAATAAATACTTTTGTCTTCATTGGATCTGCAACAATAAAAACAGTCAGATATGAGTTATATGAGTTTCAGTGGGTTTATTTTTTCTATAAGTCTTGACCTAATATCTCCAACCTCACAACTCGGCTCAGGATCAGCCCTGCTAATTACAATTACAAAGACAGCTTTGTGAGATCCCATGAGACCCACCTGGAAGCCTTTTCCTGCCCCCTTCTGGTTGTCAGCCCTTACTTGTGCCTACTGATCCAGCAGCTGGGCAGGTTATGCTACTGGCACATCAATCTTACCATTTCTTACAGCAATGAAGTCAGAATGACAGAAAGTGGAGACACAAAGCCTGGTGTAATTTTGGGTTGCATGGCGATATTTCTAGTATATTATTTATGAGCCGTCGGTATATCTATCGATGTTAACCCAATTAAAATTTTCATTTGTTTTCAGTTTATCTTCCACGTAAACCTTCTCCTCAGAACAGTTCAATCATTGGAGCCCTTATGACTCTTTTCTCCACTTATATTTCTTGTTCCGATTAGCTTAAAAGCTTAGTTTGTGTTAGTTTATCACAGAGCTCCATATCATTAAAACTCACAATAATGTGCCATGTATATGAGTGTATCACAGAGCTCCATAGCCATGAGACTCAGTAATATTCAATATGTATCAGTATGTCACAGGGCTCCACAGCAATAAAACTCACAGTGATATAAACTATGTATATCTCAGAGCTTCACAGCAATAAAACTCACAGTAATATACACTATGTATATGACAGAGCTTCACAGCAATAAAACTC